CTGGGAGATGTAGTCCCGCCGCTTCCGCCCGCCGGCTGGGGGCTGCGGGCCGGACTGGGGCGCGCGTCCGAGCGCCGGGCCTGCTGCGTACGAGCGGGGTCGGGCGCGCGCCGGGCCCGGGACCAGCTGCGCTCGGCGCTCTGGGGCTATTGCGCCCTGCCCTGGCACGGAGGGGGCTGCAGACTGCACTGGCGCAGACGCCGGCCGTGGGGGTCTTTAACCAAGATCCCCGAACCCTGGTGTAGTTCGCATCCCTCGGTGTTGAGCGGGTACCCCCTTGGAGAAGGGGACCTAGGAATTTGGCATAAATGGGCAGCACCAGGAAGCAAGGTCTCCAAGGCTTGACACACAGTAGGCGCCAATAAATACTCCTTCAGTGAATGAATGAATGAATGAATATGCCCTTTAGGGCTCAGCTCAAAGTCACCGCCTCCAGGAAGCCTTCCGGTCTCTTCAACGCCCCAAGCACAAACTCACATCGCCCACTCTTGACGTGACTGCCTCCCCGACCTTGCGCTCTGGCCAGGCACACAATAGGCTCCAGGACCGTCTAGGGGACTGGGAGAGCAGGCGAGGCCAGCAGCTCTGGTGCCTCGGGATCCCCTCCCTGAGGTGCTCCCATTTTCCCACGGAAAATCTCGCGCTTTGCCGGAAATCTCGGCCCTCAGAACACAGGTGCTAGGACCGCGCGGAGCCAGTTCCGGGGCGGCCTCGAACTTCTATTCCCAGAATGCCCCGGTTTATTTGCATCGTTCCCTCCCTGGTGACGTCATGAGTGAGGCCGCGTCTCGACCAATGGGAGGCCGGAGGGTGTTAGGACCTGGCCATATAAGGTAAACAAAGCTGGCTGCCCAATGAGGCAGCGGCGGGGGCGGGCTGTGTCACGTGGAGGCCGGGGGCGGGGCTGGAGGGGGCGGGGGTGGGGCGTAGCGGACAGTGTTTACAGCCCGTCGCGCGCCGCTTCCGGCTAATGTTGGGGAACGGGCTTGCGAGAATTGCGGCCGGTATCTCGGGTGGGGACGCTGGGGAGGCCACGGCCCGAGGTGTGGCTTGGTCACTCCCGGTGTGAATGACTTTGGCCAGGTTCCTCGCGCTTCCTGGGCCCCGGCTTCATTCGTTGACCAATAGTACATTGGGTCCTTCCTCTGTGTCCGGCTGTAACCTAGTGGGTACAGAGGAGAGCAGCCCCCAAACGCGCCGGCTCTTGGGGGGTGTGGGTTGGGGACTTGTGTCAGAATTCCCAGACCGATGTTGATTCTGAAGTGTGGAAAGCTCCGTCAGGAAGCAGGCACAAGCCCGGGGTGTGGTGGGTTAAGGCCACTGAGAGGATTTGATAGATCTGGTGTCCTCATAAGGATCACAGTAGCTGTGGCATTGTGGGGACCAGATGGTGGCAGAGGATTCCAGGCTGGGTCAGACGGTGTTCTGGTTCCAGGGGAGTCCGCCCCTGTCCAGAGCCCTGCCCAGAATTTGATTGAAAGGAGGAGCAGGGTAGTGGGGGATTGTAGTGCCCTCCAGAGAGCCTTTCCTGGGGCTCTCAACCCTTTAGGGGTTCTGGTTGTCACTAGTGGGAGGATAACGGGACTGGGGGACTGGCAGTGAGGGACTGAAGGTCCCAGATTGTGGGGGCAGGGTGGGAGGGAAGAGGCCCTGATGCAGTGGGACTGCTAAGCCAACTCCTGAGGGTGAAGGCTGGGAGCTTAGCCTATTGGCAAGGAGAGGACGCCCAGTGTCCCTTTCCAGGCATCTGCGCCTCAGCTCTGGCGGGAGTCACCTGTCCACTTGGGAAATAAGGTTTTGGTCTCTCTCCTGCTGCTTGGGGATCTCTCAGGCTCCATAATCTTTTGCTGACCCTGATGGGGCCAGGAGATGTCTGCTGTTGCTAAGAATGGCCCCTCACCTTCACCAACCATCATAAGTGTGGATTAACTTGGTCAAATGGCTTGGCACAGGGTAGGCAGTTCTGAATGTGGTTATGGCTATCACTGGGACAGCAACAGCAGGATGGAAGGTGGGCAGGTCCTGGAGCCAGACAGACCTGGGTGCCAGTTTTGACTCAGCTGCTTAATGACTCTTGTGTCAGGGAAGATACTCCTACTCAGCCTGTTTCCTCATTTGTGAACCCAAGGGAAGAGCAAGGAGCTCTCCCAGGACTGCTGTGGGGGATTCACGCTGGAGAGGTGCTCAGGATGGGCCTGGCACTCAGTGCACCCCTTCTAGCACTCACCTCTTTGCCTCCACCCGGTCCACTCTAGGGTGCACAACTTGTATAGAAAAAGAAATAGGCTGGAATACACATCTGACACTTCTGCCAGTGTTCAGAGCCAGTGGAGAACAGACACCCAGTAGGCCAGGAAGGTGTGTTTCTGGCGGGGGAGGGTGGGTGCTGTCCTGGCGGTTTCCACTGGGGGCTTTTCTTGTTCAGGAAGGCACCTCCACCCTCATCCAAGCACCATGCAGGTGCCTTCCAGGCTTGCCCTGCCCAGAAGGATCTCTTTCAGGCCAGTCTGCTGGCTGGGGTGGGGCAGATGAGACTGGCAGGAGCAAAGGTCACCCCTCTGGCTCCCATGGCCCCAGGTGGCTTGTTTTCCCAGGGGCAACAGAGAAGGAAAAAACAATCTTGTTTCCAGCCAGGATCAGCCTGGCTAGAGAGTGGACTTTGGATTTCTTAGCAGGCTTGTATGGGGCCTGACAGCTGGGCCAGTAGATGGGGGAGGAAAGGTAAAAGGCATTTCCAACAGTGCTGGCATCTTACCTGAGGTCCAGGGAGGTTACCAAAGTTGGCATAGGGAGTTGATGGAGAGTTGCTTTCAAACATTCCGCAGATGTATGTGTTTACCAGACATCTACTGGGTGCCCAGCTTTGGGAATACAAGAATGAATAGGTGAGGATCCTGCCCCCTCATCAGGTTCAAGAAATCTAGACTTGAGGGACTCATACCAGGAGACCATGAACTGTGCTTAGGGCCTTTATATTTCATAGGCCTCAATGCTGGCTGACTGAGGGGCTTTGAGATCTGGCCACTGCCTTGCTCCTGACCTCTGTTCCTATACACACCCCCTTATTTGATGCTAGCCACACTGGCCTTTGAACTCCTGGATCATTCTTGGCTCTTTTCTGCCTCAGGGCCTTTGCACATGCTATTTCCCTTGCCTAGAACCTGGACTGGCCTATCCCCCAAGAGTTTGCCTGGTTGGCAAACTTGCATTTCAAGTCCTGGCTTAAATATCACTTCCTTGAAGAAGCCTTTCCAGACTCCCCTATCAACAGTAGATCTCTCCTATGATTTCATTATACCTCAATCCATTCCCTCACAACACCCACCACACTTTGTATTTATATACTTGTTAACCTTTATAGCATCTTCACTAGCCTGTCTGCTCCATGTCTGGCCTTCTATCACTTGATTCCTATTGCCTGGCTCATTGCCCATCTATAGTAGCTGCATGATAAGTATTTGTTGAATAAATGAGTCAACCAAGATGTTGATAGTAGAACTAATATGAAATCAGAAAGGGCCTGTCTCTCAGCAGGGCATGCACAGAAAAATACACCTCAAATCCAAAGCTCTGTTAAGAGGAATGTTTCATTAATCCAACATCCAGCCTGTATCCATAAGAAGGACATGCATTTAAGGTCGTTTTGTGGTGGGCACATCAGGGTCCTCAGTACTCCTTCTTCCCCCAGATGGGGAGGCTGATAAATTGAATGCAGTGTTGGTATATCTACAAATATAATGTAACTTAGCAGAAATTTAAAATAAGGAAATAAACATCACATGACATGGGGGTGTCTTTAGGACTTTCTGAGGGCAAGACATGAAACGCGGTACATTGGAATGTTCTGCCTCTGGGGTGGCAGGGGAGTGTAGCAGTCAAGGAGTGGCCTGGTTCAAATTCCAGCTTTATTACTACTCATCTACTAGGCAACCTGAGTGGGTTCCTTCATGTCTCCCAGCCTAACTTTCCTCTTATACAAATAGTGAATGAAAATGAAAGCTACGTCACATAGTTAAGTAGAGAATATGTGCGAAGTCCTCAACATAATGCCTGGCATGTACAAGACGGTCAGTAATAAATGGGCATCTTGGTTGTGGGACAGAGATTTAAGCAGGTTCCGTCAAAACCAGGACTTTCCTTTGGAATCATGCAAATTTTTCATCTCGTTTATTAGTTTTGGCTTCCCAGTGCCCTGACAGCAGAGGGTTGTGCTCTGGATTCTGGACCTCTGGAAAGGTCATTTTAATGTGCGCTGTGGTGCGTTTATCGTTTGAGACTCTAAGCCAGTGGCTGCCCTCCCTAACTGCTTTCTCGATACAGCAGGCTTGACTTGGGAAGCCACCTTCTTCTAGGAACTGCAGTGTCTCAACTGAAAAGTAAATAAAAGATCTCCAATTGGCCTGTTTACAGAGTTCTGTGTGAGTCAAAAGCTGGGAAAATACATTGCAACCTGTGAGGCTGCGCGGCCCAGGCCTGGGGCGACCGCCTTCATTATGTCTTCAACGTAATTGTTCAGGTTCTGGTGATGGAGAGGTGCCCAGAACTGGGAAAGACCAAAGCCAGAGAGAGCTTCCCTTCCACCAGCAGCGCTCCCGCTGAACTTGGGCTCCACCCCGCTGTTCCGAGTTGGCAGGTAAAGGTGTGCCCTCTTCTGGCCGTGGCCGGAGAGAAGCCCTGGGCAGTGGGAAGAACCATGGTGGCTCAGGGAGGTATTTCAGAGACGATATGAATGGAAGGCCTCCGGTAAACAAATTATTAGGAGGCTGAAGAGGACGTTAGTGCTCGGAAGGCAGAGGGGCGGAACAGTTTGCGACGTGGTTGGAGGCTCCTCCCCACTTTCAGGTCCATTTGGTTTGTCCCGGGGCGCTAGTCAGCCAGCCTGTCCACCAGGTCCGGGCGAAGAGCATCCTAGGAAATGTAGTTCTAGGCGGGCTTCTTGCGCCGCAGCCCGGCGCCCTTGGCGGCGCGGGGACTTCATTTCCCGAATGCCCCCGGGCCGGGGGGCGGAGGGCCGCCGTGGCGTCGGGCCCCGGGCCGAGCCGGAGGTGGGAGCTCGGAGGCCAAGGCGCCCGCGGTTGTGGGTGAGCGTCCGTGTGGTCTGGTTCGGGCCATGTCCGCGTGAGGACGCCGCCGCCGCCCGCGTCCAGACCCGGCCCGGCCCGCCGCGCACCATGGGCTCCATCCTGAGCCGCCGCATCGCGGGCGTGGAGGACATCGACATCCAGGCGAACTCGGCCTATCGCTACCCTCCGAAGTCCGGTGAGCGGCCGGCCCCTGCCCTGCCCCGGCCACAGGCGCGCCCGCGGGGACCCTCCGGGAGAGTAGGGGCTCTGCTCGGCCTGGAGCTCCGCGCGCACTCCGCCCGGACCCCAGGGCGCGGCTGGGGCGCTGGGCTGGCTGCCCTGGCCCGGCCGGGTGACCTTGGGTCAGTCACTTCGCTCCTGCGCGCCTCAGCTCCTTCGTCTGCACACGGGGACGACTCACAGTAGGAAACTCCCAGGCTCGGGTGAGGTTCTGGGGCTCGACGCAGGCGCCGGGTTAGCACGGGGCCCAGCGCCCCACCTGAGCTTACAAAATGGTCATTGTCGTAAGGATTGACATCACCCCATTGCCACTTTTGTTTTTCTTTGGTGGCGTGGTGTGAAGACCCAGCCAGTGGTTCTGGACACTCTGCATCCCATCTGGACAGAGGCTCAGCTTTCCTGCGACCTCCTGGAGTGCGTGCAGGGTGGGTGGGTGGAGGGAAGCGGGGCTGGGTCCGAGGAGATGATCGTAAGCGATGGAGGAGAGAGCAGGAGAATGGTTGGAGGAGACCTACTGGGTTCTCCAGTCCCCATTTTTGGGGCCGAGAGGCCCGAGCCGCCGGGGAGGAAGTGCCTTTCCCAAGGTCTTGGAGCTGGATGGAAGCGCATCCGGGACCAGGACCAGACGGGCTTTCCCCTTCTGTTCTGCCGCCTGAGCTGCTGATGAGTGCGGCCTCGTCGGGAAGTTTAGCTCCGGTGCCTCACCGCCCGTCGCCTCACCTGGTCATCTGCAGTGGGAAGGAGAGAGGAAAGAGGTCAGGGAATTCGGACTTCACGGGGACTTCCAGGCCGGACCCCGTGGTCCTGGCTGCTGAGGCATCTGGTGCCCTGCCGTGGTCTGCCAGGCCTCCGTAGCCTGTGGGGGCGTGCGCCAGATCAGGTTTCTGAGTGGGTGGGGAAACTTGTTAGAAACACGCATTTCCCAGGTCCTGCCTCAGACCTATTGGAGCATGGGTGAACTCCAGTTGACTCTCACGTCCACTCAAGTCAGAGAACTGCCCTGTCCTGATTTTGGAACGTTAAAGAAGGGGAGTCTCTGGGAAAACGAAGAGGTTGAGACTAGAGCGGTCTGGGGGCAGTTGGAAGGGGTTGCAGACCTGGTTAGAAGGCAGTGTGGCTTACTAGTTGGGGAGCTCTCTGTGCCTGCCTCTGTCCCAGGCACAAGTGCAGGCAGCCCAGCCGGTGCGGGGATCCCTTGGAGGCCCTGTGGGCTGACATCTCCAGGCCTGATGGAGCGGTTGTTTGAAATCATCCTCTTCCGTCGCTGATGTTCTTCCCGCCTGCCTTTGGCTGAGTGACCTTAGGCAAGTTGCTTAGCTGCCTGGGTCATAGTTTGCTCATCTGTAGAGGGCTCAGAACAGTGCTTGGCACCTAGGAAGTCCTTGCAAAATGCCAGCTGCTGTAATGGCTTACAAAGGAAACTAGGTTTCCAGCTCAGACCTTGATAGCAGTCAGCAGCAGCATGGCAGAGGTATTGGAAAGTTTAATGTGGCACTTCCTGTACCTGGGAGCAGAGCAAACTTGATGTCCCTTCACCTGGGATAAAACCACAAGTATAAGGCATTCATAGTGATGGCTTTTGGGTTCGGTATGGCAGACCTTGCTGGTCAGTCAGGGCACTTCCCCCCACCAAGCCTGGACCTGGTTTCAGAACCCATCAGGGAGCACCCCAGTCCTACCGATTGGGCCAGCACCCAGGTGAATTGCTGCTAGCTACAGCTGCGCTGTCCTGGGCCTGCCCACTGCGAAGGCCAGCCTCTTTGCCGCCTTGTCATTCCGCCTTGCCCAGGGAGGGTCAGGTGGGGGCAGAAGGGAGCTTAGCAGAACTAAAGTATGTTTTCCCAAGGGTCACAGTGGCCCCCAGTGGGGTTTGAGATGATTTTGGGGGATCTCCAGTGAACCATTCCATCAGTTTATGAGGAAATAGTTATCTTTTCAGCTCTCTGTCCGTTTTATTATATCAAGAAAGAATCATTGGGTGTTAACTTTTTTTTAACATCTCTGTAACACTGCCCGATTTTTTTACCCAGCTTTGCTGAGACATATATAATTGACATAGGGCATTATTTAAGTTTAAGGTGTACAGCGAGATGATTTGATAAGTGTTTATTGGGAAATGATCACCATAATAAAGTTAGTTAATACCTCCATCACCTCAGTTACCTTTTTCTTTTTTTGGTGGTGAGAACTTTGAAGATCTGTCCAATTTTCTTTGGCATATGAAACTTTCAGCTCGTGCTGCAACAGTACCTGCCTTGAATTTAGTAACATTTGCTTTGTTTTCATTGTATATTCATTTATTTTACATTTAACAGCTTTTACACATTATACATTTATACATGAACAGTATAATTTATATGCCATACATCTCATCCCTTATAAACATAACAATTAGGTTATTTTCTTTGTAAATTTACAGAATTGTGCAGCCATCTCCACAGTTTTACACATTTCCATGATGACCCCAAAGTTTCCTCGTGCCTGCTTGCAGTCAGTCTCTGCCCCCAGCCCCACGATCCTGCCCTGTCCCCCATCTGCTGCTTGTCTTTAAAGTTTGCCCTTTCTGGACATTTTCATATAAATGGAATCATGCTACATGTAATCTTTTTTTGTGCCTGGCTTCTTTCACTTAGCATCATGTTTTTGAAGTGCATCCATGTTGTAGCATGTGTCTGTGCTTTATTGTATGAGTATAGTACATTTTGTTTATCTGCTCACCAGTTAATGAACGTTTAAGTTGTTACCACTTTTTGGCTATTAGGAATAGTGCTGCTATGAACATTCATGAACATGTAGCCCTGTTCAGTTTTCTTTGTCATGTATCTGGGAGTGGAGTTGCTGGGTCCTACACTAACTTATATGTGTAACTTTTTGAGGAACTGCCAGGCTATTTTCCTTCGTGGCTGCTTGGTTTTAACGTTTATTCTCACCTGCCGCGTGAGGGCTCCAATTTCTCTATATCTTTGCCAATGCTCATTTATTGTCTACCTTTTTAATTATAACCATCCTAGTAGATTTGAAGTGATGTCTCTTTGTGGTTTTGATTTGCATTTCCTTGATGACTGATGTTGAGCATCTTTTGTGCTTATTAGCTTATTACAATAATTGCACTTATTAGTCATTTGCAATCTTTTGTGTCAGAGAGAGAGAGAAATGTCTGTTGGTGTTTTGTTCAGTCTTTAAAAGTTGGATTCTCTTATTCAGTTGTTAGAATTCTTTATGTGTTCTAGATAGAATGATCCAATTCTTTTATCAGCTCTGTGCTTTGCAAATATATTTTGCTAGCCTATGGCTTGTCTTTTCATTCTCTTAAAGGTGTCTTTTGAAAGGTAAAAGTTTTAAAGTTTGGTGGAGGTCACTTTGCCAGTTTATTTAATGGGTAGTGGTTTTAGAGTTATAGTTAGGACATCTTTGTCTTGCCCAAGGTTACAAAGAAGATTTTCTACTATGTTTTCTTCTAGCAGTTTTATAGTTTTAGATCATACATTTGGATCTGTGATCCATTTTTAGTTAATTGTTTGCATGGGTGCCTTGAGGTGAAGAACTAAGGTCCTTTTTCTGCATGAGGATATTCTATTATTTCAGCATAATTTGTTGAAAAGACTTCTTTTCCCATCAAATTGCCTTTGCCCCTTTGTTAAGAATCAGTTGACCATAAACATGAGGGTTTGTTTCAGCATTCCTTTGTTCTGCAGTTCTTGTCCCGTCACTCTTGGCCCGAGTGGTCCTTGGCCAAGGGTCAAGGCAGGTGTTAGGATATCACGGTCCACCTCTGAAAGGACGCCGTGTCCAACCTGAGGAGGAAAGCCCGGGATGCAGTCAGCACCCACATGGAGTGCCTGGCCTGCCGCGGCTCTCCCTGCTGCTGTTACTGCTGTTTGTTGCTTGTCTCGGGGCCCTGCCCTGCCCCGGTGTCACACTGGACCAGCTCACCCCAGAGACGGGTCTGGAGGAGGAGCAATCAGACACGTGACCCACCAGCCCTGAGTGGGAGGCGTGTCCCAACCTAAACCTTTCCTTGATCAGGTATGTGTACTTCCAGAGCGTTTTCACCTCCTTTATCTTACTGGAGCTTTGCCATGTCCTTAACACCAGCCTTTTGTCCTCACTGGTGGAAGAACTAGAAATCAGAGTGAGCCCTTTGTTGCCCAGCACCTGAGTGTGGCTCACAGTAAGCGTTTTGTCAATGCTTGTGCCGCAGGCCTTGCCGAAGTGAACTCCTAGTGTGCAGGCTGCTCACGTCACCGGGCCCCATCTCATCCCTCGGGGTGTCAGGCTGGGGGTCTGAGGACTGTTGGGTCTGCTGCCGGGTGCCGGGCCGAGGCGTGCGGGAGGAGGCTTCTGGTGTTGTGTTTGTGTGGACAGCTGGCTGGGCAATGCTGCTGGCCTTCACACTCTGCCTTGCTGCCTTTGACTCATTTGGCACCTGAGGTCCCTGGGGCCCCTGCATCGGTCACTCTGTTCCATGCGTGTGTCCTGGTACACTGACTTGGAGAACCTTTCATGCTTTCTCTGGGGATTATTGGAGTCAGCTGCTGCCAGCCTCACCCTTCCCAGGCTTTGTTGAACTTTCACATCAGCTGGCCACGTGTCATGTGTCGTAGTGAAACATGACAGAACCTCTCTGAGCCTCTTAACGCTGCAGTCTCCACAGGCCCACACGTGTGCATTCTATCTGAAGAAGGCCCAAGTATGTGCTGGTCTGGCCTGGTGGCAGTGGGCCTTTAACCCTGAGCCGGGGAGCTGGCAGCTACCCTGTGTCATGTGGCTAAGGCCTGCCTGCCTGATACAGAAGGGGTGTGCGCGCTGCTGTTTTCTTCCTCACGGTCCGTGTGGCCTTCACTGTGTGTACAACACAGGCTTCCACAAAAAAAAATCCTCTGGGATGGAGGTCAGTGTGGCACTGTGGGCTTGCTCCCCACCCCGCTGCGGGGTGCCAGGGCCCTGGATTCTGAG